TTTTGCTCAGATTTTCTGAGTACCCTGGAATGCAATTTGAACAGTCAGGATTTACTTTTGTAGAATTTCACAAAGTCTCTTTTAGGCTCTCATGCCATGAAATCACACCTAATTTTTTCCTCAACCTTAAGGAATGTCTTCCCAATGCCCAGTTTCCCTTTGCAGATGATAATGGCAGGAAGTTGACAGGGCTGTGTCCACTGGCTGTCAGATCTGCAGGGGACATCATCATAAACTGAGATAACAAGGTCACCCCCTGCTGGGTGCCCACTACAATGTCCATTTCACCAACTCATTCTTCCTTGCAGTTTAATGCTAAGTTAAGAATAGCAGATTCCCTTGTGTCCATTAAAACTGTCAGTGGATCAAGCCAAGAATTTATCATTTATACTTATTGGACTATACAGTAATGGAACATTTATCTTGAAAATATTGGTATTTTCTTGCCATCTGAAAGAGACATGGTGTTAAGTGGGTGCTGAGTGGGTTAGTTTGTTTGGGTTACTCAGACTGGATAATTTATAAACAACAGTTCTGGAAGCTGGGAAGTCCAAAATCGAGGCACCAGCAGATGTGGTGTCTGGTGAGGGACTGTTCCTCGTAGAAAGATGGCACCTTCTTGCTGTGTCTTCACATGGTAGAAGGGCAAGGTAGCTCCCTCCAGCTTCTAAGTGCACTGATCCCATTCATGAGTGTAGAGCCCTCATGACTTAATCATTTCCCAAATGCCTTGCCTCTTAATTCCATCACATTGGATATTATATTTGAACACATGAATTGAGGGGGGATGGGGCAACATCAACATTCAGACCACAGCAGTGGGTTTGGGTTTTTTTTAAGGTCTTGGCTCAAGACTCAAAGCTAGGATAGAATCATTTGTCATTTGGAAGGGACTCTTCCACCTTCTAATATTAAGTCACCCAGAACACTCTCACCCAACTCCTCTGTTAGCTGGTTCCTTCCCAGTCTCACTTGAATACCAGCTCCTCAGCTGAGTCTTCTCTGAACATGCTAAGTAGGCAGCCCCCACCTCATGATTGATTTTTTGTTTACTTATTCCAATTACCTATCTCCCTCAGTAGAATAAAAGTGCAACGATGGCAGATACTTACTTTGTCGTCTCAGGACCTAGAACAAGGCTTGGTACATAGTTGCAGGCTGGAGAGTGAAAGCAGGGGAGACGTCATGCTCACTGAGCTGGACATGGAGAGGCAGGCAGGTGAAACCACATTGTGCAAAGACAGTGCAGCTATAGTGAAGAGAGACAGATCCAGAGTGAAAAAGCTAATATCCTTTCTAATAACCAACCCATTTAGATGACTTGAGCATATGAAATTTAGGAGTAAATTTGATAGTCACTTATTTCAAAGAAAGGAAATAGATTATGCCCTCCTTGGTAAGAAGTACCAAGCAGAGATAGGCATTTGGTATCATTAAGCAGACCCGCATGCAAACTTGCCTCTATCTCCCTAATGTGCTACTTCACCATCTGCACAGTTTCCCCAAGATGGCACCTCAGGAGGTCACCCTGTAGGGTGCTGAGAGCCAAAGCCCAAGTTTAACAGTAATCAGAGTCACCTCTTCCAACAGTTGGAAGAGATTAGGATTTAGAAAGAAAAGACTTCTGGAAGAGCAGAAAGGAGACACCCCAAATTGGTCAACATCGATCCAAATATGGAATAAGAAAAACAAGGGCAGGAAGATGTAGTCAGAAGAGTGAGGAAAGCAGGCAAATGACTGGGAAAAAGGATGTAACAAAGCTGTCCCCCCACCCCTTGGCCATGCCAGGTTGTCCAGGCTGTCTTCAGTGGGTCTAAGGAAAGGGCACTGCAGTAATAAAATGCCGTGATTCACAAGGAGTGATTCACAGCCTCCATTCTTCACACACACTGTTCAGTTCCTCTCTGTCTTCTCAGCCAAGCACTTTGCAGGCTCAGAACCACGAGTCTTCGGTGGCACTGCAGGGAAGGGCTGGGCGCGAGATGGTTGTCTATAACAGGACCATGCAGGTGAGCAGGTAGCCGTGTGGCCAAAGGCCTTAGACTAGAACTTGCTACCTCTGTCCCTACCATGATTATTCAGAACAGAGGCTCCAAGCGGGGTGGGCCCAGGAAAAGATGATGGAGGAAGTGCTAGAGAGTGCTTTTCAGAAAAGGGTTTGGAAGTGTTTCTATGGGTTAGGTCATGTTTTGGCCAAAAATCATGTGAGGGTGTTACTCAAACAATTCTGGAAACTGCTTTTATAATTTGTTCAAAACTTTCCAAATGAAGGGTTTCGGTGTTTTAAAGTCTTCGGTTAAAAAGTATAAAACCCTTTATACATTTGTGTCATCTGCCGTGAGAGAAGATGGAAATTCATTACTCAGATTTCCACAAAAACCTTTGCATAACTGATGAAGAAAAATGAAGAATAAGTAATTATGACTTAATGTGACTAGTTGTGTTCTTCTTCCATTTAGAGTTACTAAATTTTGAAAGTCAGTGCATTAAAAGCAACCATAAAACTAAGTTGAACTTGTAACTGACATCTGAATTACTAATCACAGTTTTAAAGCATTTACAGTAATGAAATGCTCATTATTCTTAAAAATACTGAATAGGAATTTTATCATTAATATTTTTAAACATTGTATTTTAACCTCATTCAAAACTTCTAGAATACAATTTACTCATGCACAAAATTTATTAATAAACACACATCTCGTGGTAGAAACCTAAACACTTTACTACTAAGGTTTACAACCAAGACAGCTGTATGGTTATTTACAGATTTTAAGGGAGATATCTATGAAGCCTAAATACTAAGAACATTCTTTTAAATATTTTGTTATCAATTTCAAATTATCCAAATAACTGTTGTGGCTGCTCCATACCATATAACTCTTGAATTTCCCTGATCATTTTAATCATTTCTAGAGATGGCAGCAAAATAGTTTACATAATGGAGTTTCTCTTTTATAAAACCAAAGGTAATTCTGTGTTGATTTGTTTCTTCTAAAAACATTACAATGCAAAGGTTTTCAAAAGTCCAAAGGTAAAAAGGAAATGGTTGTCAAGAACAAACATTATATCTAATCACGTCAAATCCTGTTGCAATAGAATTTCTCCGCCTCTGGGTCTACACGTAGGGGTCACTCACTGGAGAGCCTCCCAGTTTTAACTCCCTATCAATTAAAGCTGCTGGAGGAATTTCAGGAGAGAAACTGATTTGGGCTCTTTACAATACAGGTCAGCTTTGCGAAAATGAAGCAAACATCTCTTTGCTTTGTAAATTGATGTCATCAGAAATGGTTCCCAAAACTCACCGGAAGTAAAGTTGGGTGCTGCCCACTATTAGGCAGCCAGAAGGCCAGGGATCTACTCTGATCCTGTAACCAACCATCAGGTGATTCTGAAACTCTCTACACCTCACTAAGCATTTTCCTGTACAAAATGAGGTGGGAGGTGATTTCCAGTATGAAGAGAAGCTCCCTCCAGCTTTCCCAGTCTAGAATTATTTTGAGCGATGCCAAACCCTTAAAGCAGAGTTTACATTTACGACAATGTGGCTTATAAATTATTGTCCCACATAGTTTCTGGATTTTAATTAGTAGGATTAAATAGTAATCAGAGTCAGCTCTTCCTACAGCTGGCAGAGCAGGGCAGATGAAAGCTGGGAGGCAGTCCCAGAAGCCAGAAGTGGTCTCTGAAGTTTGTCACCTCTAATGGTGCACCATCAGTGACTCTCAATGCCAATGTCAATCTGAGTCCGAACTTTATGGATCACTAATTGTACACATTTAGACGAAGGGCCTCTATAAAAAGACTCAAACATGCATGCTGTCATTCAAAGTAGGCAGGTTCCAAAATTAACCATGGTGGCTTATACTATGTTAACGTGGTTAATCCAGAACTGTGTTTTCCAGAGTCCCCTTCCCTAATTCCCCTGAATTAGAATTGGCTCTAAGACATGCTGGCATGAGATCTGGAGGGCCAAAGTGAAACAAGTACCATTTTTCTCTGAGATAACCATTGTTCAATATGGTGTAGCAACGAGACAGACACGAAGGTGCCTGGCCAGTTCCAGCTTGTCCTCATTCCCTTCTGCTTCACCTCCAGCTCTTCTTCCTGAGTGCTGACTAGGGTGGCCCTGGCACACCACTAAATACCTGGCTGCAGACCCATAAAGGTGGTCACAGAGCCCCCGCCACGTCACCTGCCCAGGCCCACTTCTGCAGTGGCCTTGTGCTTTGCTTCCAAAAGACGACCTGGTGACTTAGTCTGATTCACACGCCTTCTGAATCTTCACTTTTCCAGCGCTTCACACAGTTGAGTTTGATCTAATTCTGTAACAAAATTTGGTATCCCATGGCACTTGGAGCAACTCTTCTCCCGTTTACCAAACCAGACACACAAACCTCCAAATGGACGTCGTTGTTCTATCTATAGGCCACCCCTGAGAGGGAACCGAGTGTGCAAGCTGAAGAGAGTCTCATCCTGTTCCAGGTAATAGTACACTTCTTGAGGCCTCATAATGTCTTAAGAGGCATAAATGGCATCAAAAGATTGACACCAGCAAGTGCACAAATGAGTTTTGGGGGAAATACAACACAAAACATGGTTTACAAATTTGGCTCTGAGAATCCTCACACAGTTGCCTCTCTGCACCTTGCCTAGTAAGTCACAAGCTGAGACTGTCCAACCTACATCCACAGGCTCATGTCAACAGTCCTTTCTGCCCAACACAATCTCGTAACAGCACTCACTGACACATACCACTGATGGAGCCAGTCTCATCAGTGCTAAACTCACACCCTGGGTAGAGGTGTTACAACTTACATAATTAACACTCAGATAACAATACTGGAAGCAGACACCAATATCTCAAATAATCTCACTCATGGTTGGGTAATGACCACACATAGGCCACAGGTGTTCATAAGGCATTCCTTTACTCCCAGGCTGAAAAGCAAAAATCCAAAATTAAAAAAAAAAAAAAAACCACCATAAAAATGTGGGCATGAATTATTTCTTGTTTTATTGCTTTCGTGTTTCTTACTTGATGCAGAGTCAATGTTTTTGAGTAACAGTAATAAGATGTCCAAAATCCAACAGTAAACATTCAAATAGTAAAATCTGATGTAGAACAAAGTCCTCGAATGTTCACTCCTTTAAGTTACATCTAGTGGAACCACTAGGGATAAAGGCTGAACTCATCATCTTGGTTTATGATGGAAACCGCTCTCCTCTGACCCAGGAACAAGAGGAAGTCTCGAACGCCAGCCACCTGGTTTAGGCACTGGGGGCAGCACTGTGGTCTCCTCGTGAAATGGCAGGGGAGACTCATAATGAGTCTAAGTATGGCAAATTCTCCTTTTACCCCGGGATTAAGAGACACCCCCACAACAACTGAGAGAATCAAAAGAAACTCCTATGGAATAGAAGAAGTGGTTACAGTAATAAAGATCAGAAATGATGGTGTTGTCAAGGAAGTGGCCTGTGACTGCACAGAACCCCATCTTTGTAAGAAAGCAACCCACTCTTACATGCACATCAGAGAGGCTTTACACAGTGACTGGCTGCAAGCAGGACAACCGTGAGCAGCATTTTGCTTGTTAAAGGCACAGATCCTCGTCATCCTGAGAGAGGAGAGTCACTGTATGCGACCTCTGAAAAACTGTCAGCTGTCATAAATCTGATTGCAGCTTCAGCCTGATCTTTTTTTTTGAAAATCCCAGACTCTTGGGGCACCCCTGAATATCTTGATGTGCCTGCTCCTTCTGCAAGAAATCAGGTTTCCAAGGGATGGAGACTCAAAGGAACATGATTGCATTACATCACACAACAGGCAAAAATAAATACATGACTCTATAGCATGGGTATGAAACTACCACAAAGAAATATCTCAGACCCCACAACTGCAGCTCACATACTAGCAATACCTGGTAGAGTCTAAAAGGTGTCAACTGTCCCATAAGCATTTACCTACTCTGACTTTGATCAACTGTACTTATGGGATAAGCAAAAATGTATGAAAACATTCTGTATTTTTTTAAAGACAAACTGTCTTAAATACCAGAGAGATCAATTTCACTTGACAGTGATCAGGATATCCAAATTAAATAAATCACTTTCCATTCTTCCCAATGATCATCTTAGGTTTCCATGACAAGAATGGGCGAGAGCCAACTGCACCTTGCCAGTGACAGAGGGTGCAGTTGTCACACAAACCCTCTTGGAAGAATGATGGACCCACGCCTCTGCCTGAGGAATGATCTCGAGCTCTTCCAGCTTTTGAAATTCCACAGTATTGTGAATGCTCTTTACAAACACAGTGATACTCGAAAAGGAACCAACAAGAAAACATAAGTTGCATTTATTCACGTCCACGCCATCTAAAGCTACTGTGTACAGTAATCAGGACTGGAGAAGGGACGATTTAGTAGCTAAAAACAACAACAAAAACACTGGGACATGTCCCCTGAATTGCAAGTTGGAGTTCGTAAGAATCTACTTGCTGACAAGCCGGTTTCCTCCCTGAGAAGCACACTTTCCGCTTCCTTCTCTCCCTCCAGCGTCTTCCGAACCTCTCAGTTAAGGCCTGGACAGTGTGGGACGGTGTTGCAATCTCTCCTGCAGAGCTGTCAGTCGCCTGTGGGCTCGGGCTGCGTGCACTCAGGCTCTCGGAGGTCGCTGGGTGATGCGCTCCCACGCCGCAGCTCCTCCACCGTCTGCAGCAGGGCAGACCGCTCCAGCTCTAAGGTAAGCATGGCCTGCTTCAGCTTGCTCTCGCTGCTCAGGAGCTTCTCAATGGTGGCCTCAAGGCTTTGGATCCTACCATTTGCCACCTGGAGAATAAAAGAAATGAGAATACAATTGCCAGTGATAACACAGGAGGGATCCAGCATGCACTCGCAGTCCAGCCTTGGGAGCACTCTGGAGCTGTGTTTCAGCAGGGATGAGTCTCCAGTTTATCATCAGTTCTGGCCACACAGGAAGGCAATTCGCACTCTTTGCGGGTAGGTGAACCAGGCCCTTAAAAGCACCCCAAGAGCCCCCGGCATTTTCTTCTCCTGCTATGGCTGCTGTGGAAGCCGATGCTGAGAGATGGTGGATCATGACACAGAGGGAACCCAAACCCCCAGGCACCACCACTGGAAAGACAGCTCGGATGGGGCCAAAGAAAGCTTCAGCGACACAAAGCCTTCCCCTGTGCCAAGCCTCCGAGATACGTAACTTTGTTACTGCAGCAGAGCCTGGCCTGTTTTGATGAGCACATATATTTAAACCCACAAATCGATTTCAGACTGACAAAAACTCAAAATGGTTTCCTCGTGAAGGCCCAAGTAGTAACAATCCTCGAATCTGAAATTCTTTTCAAACACAGTGATACTCAAAAAGGAACCAACAAGAAAACAATTTATTCAGGTCCATGCCATCTAAAGCTACTGTGTAAAGCTAGTGATGTCTAGAGGAACAAGACATCACTATGTCAAGAAACACAGGTATTTACCCCGGAACACACATGGAGTCCTTGGAAAGGCCAAGTGTTCCGCTAAGAGGTTTACGTGCCTGGTCTCACTGACTGCTCACTACGAGTCTCAGAGATAAGCAGTATCCTCTCTTCCACCCTACAGAGGAGGAACGAGGCTCTGACTCAGTTTACATCCTCAGCACCTAGCACATAATTAATGCTAGTTAAATAGAATTTCCAGGTGTATCTTTCTAGCAACTGTCCCTCGTCTCATTTGCTCGGGCAGGCTTGCTTCCCAGGTGACAAGTGTGTTAGCTCTAGTGACATTAAGGGGTTCCCTAAGAAAACTGCAGAAACTCCAACACTTATGTTGATGTCCCTGAGGCCTTTCTGGTCCGTTCCCAGCTCACAGGTGCATCCTGGAGTGCTCTGTGACTTGTTGTATCTTACTAATCCAGTCCAGATTTGCCATGCTCCATTTTAGGTGGGAAAAATGGTGTTTTATATATATATATATATATATATATATATATTTTTTTTCAAACAAAGAAAATACTTTTTTGAATGTGATAACACTTGTGCCAGACAATTCATGACTAAAAGTCTAGCTCTGGCTGGGCCACTAGAACACCCAAAATATAAAAAAGGGACCAAGAGCCTTAGTTTGTCAGCCTACTGGGCAGGGGGTTGCCCCGCTTCAGGTATCTCTCTAAGCAGTACTCTCTGATCCTCAAAATCCACCCATTGTCAGGGCCTGGCTCAGGGCCTACCCTCATCACTCTGAAGCCCCTCTGCATTCCGAGGTGCAACCTGCAGCTTAGTTAGCAGTGAATTAATTCGCATGGTCATTTGCTATTCTGCATTAATGTCAGGTCTCCTCAATAACACTGAGGCTTTTATAGAAGCAAGCACGTCTTCTCTTTCACACATGGTCCTGTCTCCCACAGCACCTGGCTCAGTGTGGGCGTCAATGACTTGTAGGGATTATGACAAATCCATGTGCATTATTGTTTGGTTCCATCTGGCACGTCTATGCAATCGTCTGATATATTGCTGAACAAAACAGGTGGCAGAATTTGCTCTCCAGAGTCTAGACAACGTTCACATGTGTTTAACAGGGAACGAAATGGGATTTTGATACTTCTAACAATTTTATGAACAGAATAAAGGTAGGAAATGGGTTGATTTTGGTATTTCGTCTCCCCAGAAAAGCTATATGAAAATTCAGTACTGTATTGAACACCTTTCCTTGTCTGTGTCTGAAAAGTGTACAAGGAGGAGGCATGATTCTCACATATGAGAGGCATATTTTCATAGAGGATCATGGAAAAACTATATCCAAACACCACAAATCAATACAATACAATCCTAGATCCAATTCTTTGAGAGCTGCAGTGTCTTACTCAACTTGGTGGTCCCCAGCACTCAGCACTGCAGGGACTCAGGAACTACTGGTGGGTTGGCATAGACCACAGTTTTGAATGATCCTTTCAGAAGTGCAGAACTACTTGGTCAAGAGAACGACCATTCCACGGCGAACATCTGTAATCACCAATTACTGTCTGATGCCTTTAGTGAGGAATGTAGGTAGCTAAGAAGTTTTTCACAGCTCCCTGTCTTCACAAAAACAATAGCACAAGAGCAGCATGGAATTATTTTCTATGCTCTGTCACCAAAAAAACTACATGGTCATTTACCCAATACAACAAACCTTTTATGTAAGAACTGCCTATCTTAACAAGCTAAACACTTCAATGCAAATGTGAGCCTTATTAGAAGAGCTTCCACCATGTTATATTTCAGGGACCTGTCATTGGCTTAGAAGCCATTTAAAATGACCACCTATACTGTGTACCCCTACAGGCCAGAGCGGCCCTTCATCCTCTGGAGACTCCCCTTGAGTCACAGCTGAGACTTCCAGTTAAATTGTATACAGGCATATTTTCAGTTAGGACATCTCTATCTTAGGGGAAAAGAAGAAGTTAAATTTCAGAATGTGAGTAGTTATTAGGGCTGGGCAGGAATAGCATTCAGTCTTGTTCCTCTCTTTCACATATCTGATCGGGTATGCTGGGATGGAATGCCTGCTGGGAGGAATGCATTTCAAACAGCTTGACTCACTAGGCTGGCCTTTCTCACCCTGCTGCCAAGCTCGTGTCTGCAAAGCTCATCTTTCTATGAAGAAAAATCAGAGGCTTAGATCAGAATGGGACTTATTCTCAGGACAGCCCAGGAACACCATAAAAAATTTGGGCAAAAATATGTATTTTTATCCACAGCCACTCAAAAACAACTTTTAAAAACACCCTCAAAACAATTCCTGAACAGGGACAGCACTGCTACACACTTGTGACATTAAAAAAAGTAGAACATATGGTTGCTTCATGCCATCTGATGGACAAAAGAGCTGCATTCCGCAGTTAGGCGTTCTTTTCGGCAGTGTGCCTGGGTGATGTGGGGGTGGGGGTGATGCTGGACCTGGCCAGCTCCCGTCTCCGTGCTACACCTCAGGGCTTGCCCTGCACACCCTCCTGCATGCACAGTCTCAACTGGACTTTCTTCTGTATGTCCTCACCTGAGTGTATCCGTGTTGAAATGGAAGTTTCTAGAGGGGGAACTGAGACCTTCATTAATCAAATCTTTGTATATGCACCAAGGACTCAAAAAGAATTATCATCTGCTCTGGTTTGTTATGTTTATTTCTGCGTTACTTTCTTCCTTTACTGTCCCTCTGTGGACCTAGCTGGTTTTGCTCACAGAAGTTAAAGCTCTTAGATTCTCTTTGAGTAATGACAATGGCTGGCATTCAGCTAACAGGTCACAGCATCTTGAATCCAAGTTCATCTCTGGGCCTGTCTCCTAAAAGAGTTAAGTGCAGAAACAGCCTCTCAGAAAGCTCAGGGACTGTCTGACCTTAGCAAAGGACAATCTGTCTGCTCCATAATGAAAAGGACCCATTCTCCCAGGATACCTTTGATCCCAACTATAAACAGATCAGGGTGGGAAAGGTCCTCTGGTCATGGGAAAGCCCAGCCTGCTGTTGCCTTTGGTGAGTTAATGAACTACCATATATCTGTGACTCAGGAAGCTGCTTTATAAATATGCTCTACCTGCAACTGTTCAAGGAGGTCAAGGTTCTGTTTGCGTAAGCTGCTGTTGGTTTTCTCTAGTTTATCCATTCTTTGGTTGTCACTGAGAGGAGAGGACTCGATAAGTTCTTCTTGAAGGACATGGTACTCAACTTCATAAGCTTGTAACTGTTTAGCAATGTCCATCTCAAATACCTGTTATAGAAAGAAAAGTCATCAGGTACTAAAATCGAGAAAAACCCCACACATACAGGCAGGTGTCCGCAATCATGACAATGTGCACCTGTGAAGTGTCTCCTCTACGCTTAGCTCTATACTTGGTACTAGAAGTGATAAATAAGAACAACTATGCACTGAGAAGGTAATACTTTTATACTTGGGACAAAAGGATATAAGAAATATCTAGAAATAATTCCAAGGTAACATTAAGTACAGGTTTTTGATACTCATCTTCCAAAAGTCAAAAAAAAACACCTCTCATTTTTAAAGACTTAAAAAAATTTATTTTTAGTTCTTATTTCACTTCTTTTCTCTGAAAATTCTGTTAGGTTAGATACATCAACTATGGGTTAAAAGGAGAAAAGAAACAAAAGAATCACAGCCCTGTTTGCACAGTCACCAAGTCAAAGTTTAATTATAGTTCAGTTGGGTTTTCAGAGTTACAAGAACAGCTAAGTAATGGGACTGTTTACTAAAAAACTCTCCTTTGCACACAAATATGCAGAAATGAGCCAAAACCCAAATGTCACCCACACAGATGAGTGAATACGAAACGATGCCTGAGTTGTCTTCTTTCCCACAATAGCAATGGTGACGAAAACACCACACGTGTGAAAAACAACCCCTGAGTGCCCAAGTGACTCAAGCTGTCCGTGTCTGTACTTTCTCTTGGTGAGGAAGGCAGGGCGGAAAGCAGAGTCAGAAGACAGCTGCTGCTGCTGCTGCCCAAGGCATTTCCTTTCTTTCCAGTTGTTTCCATGAGAGAACCCCAGGGGCCAGGGCCTCTCAGCACAGCAGTGAAGCCCCAACGTTTATCTGACGGATCTGAGAATACAGTCAAGCTGGGACCATCTTAAAAGCAAAAAAAAAAAAACTTGCTAGATCAGAACACACATTCAGAGAGTGAAATCAGACTTTTAAAGGGCAGAAACTGCCTCTCTATTGCATTTCCTTAAGCAACTCCAGTATTGTTAAAAATCAGTGTAAAACTACTTCTCATGGCATCCTATTGGCATTCAAACTAGCCTATCTTCCCTGGAATCAATGTTCAAAAACTATGTTTCCTTTCTCTCCATTCCCAACAGTCTTATTTTCTCTTCCTTGGGATGAATTTTTCAGCTTGCTGTTTTTTATTTAATTCAGTGGATAATACTAATAAGGCACAAAAGTCATTTGATGCCTAAAAACTAAAATCCATTGTATCTGTGGCACGTGTGTGCATGTGTGCGAGGGGAGTAAGAGGGAGACAGAGAATTTCTACTGGATTGAACTGATTCTCTTTTGTCCTTCTGAGCGACTATGAGGTCAGCAGGGATTATCATCTCCATTGGACAGCCGAGGTAACTGGCTCTGAGGCTTTGCGTCGGCCTTAAAATTGGGACTCCACTGGCGACTCTATGAATGACTTGAGCTCGGTACTTAACCTCTCTCAGTCACAGTTCCTGGCCTCCCACCTGGGGCAGACAGCGCCTGCCTCCCAGGATGGCTATGAGAATTAAACAAGGCAATTCATGGAAGTTCCCAGCACACGCCTGGCAGGTTGAGCAGGCGTGCTCTTAGCTAAGGGATCTGCTTCCACACATCTGCCACAAAACCCTCACATTTCAACCTCGGCAAAGCCATCATCAATGGATGCCATGTCATGGAACTTCTGAATCGTCCGAACAGTAAAAACCACAAACATCAAAACTGAGATTGTTTGGCACTCATGTATAATTATAAATACGGTGCTGAATAAATGTCCTGTACACTATTACTTTTTTTCTTCTATAAAGATTTATTTTTAAGTGATCTCCTAACCTGGAAAGCCTAGAACAAAACCTCTGACTTTTCCTACAGATTGATGTTCTGTGTTAAGTTAATGCCTCTCAGCAGTGCCCAAAGCCATAAACTCTTCCAGGCCTCCATTAATCCCTACCCTGGGTCGCAATCATCTCTGCTTAATTGCCTGATGATCTCCTGACTGCCAAGACTCTTAGGCCCTTCATTCTGCAGTTATGCCCCTGAATTTACCCCAAACCATGGCAATATGAGGTTGCTGGTCAAAGGAGAACCCAGGTCACTGAACAAGGGTTTCAGCCCTTGGGCTAGTTACTTGGGGAAATAAAAGAAGATGGGAGGGGCGCCTGTCCTTGCACACTTAGAGAGCACAGGTGATCCACTGCCAGGAGCAGTTCTCAGCCAGAGAAAGAGCAGGAAGGCCTAACATAAAAAACCCGATCCTTCAGTATGTTGTCTCAGATGAATAAAAAAGACGAATATTATTGGCCGGGCGCGGTGGCTCACGCCTGTAATCCCAGCACTTTGGGAGGCCGAGACTGGGCGGATCACAAGGTCAGGAGATCGAGACCACAGTGAAACCCCGTCTCTATTAAAAATACAAAAAATTAGCCGGGCACGGTGGCGGGTGCCTGTAGTCCCAGCTACTCAGGAGGCTGAGCCAGGAGAATGGCGTGAACCCGAGAAGCGGAGCTTGCAGCGAGCCGAGATCGTGCCAACATAAGTTTAAATTACACATGAAGGCAAATATTATTAAAAACTAGGTGTTGATGGGAAAACAAGATACATACACTTTAAGGTATTTTCATTTCTGGTCTGAGTCACTCCTGAGGCTGGACAAGTGCAGTGTCAACCTCCCCCGGGGTCTTGCCTAAGCCATTCCCTGAGCACCGGTCACTACACAAAGCTGCAAGGTACCCGGCCCCTCTGCAAGGGGGACTAGATCTCATCTTCTTTCTGCCTGGCCCATCTCAGAGCAATTCCACTGGAGTCGTAATTACTGGAGATCTAAAGCCTTCCCGTCATCCTGGCTCTTAGGTTCTTCAAGGTTTTCGAGCAAGTTCCAGAATTTTGGTACTGAAGAAAATTTCTCTTCTGCTTACCAAGGTAGGAATGACCTATTCCCATACTTTCGATGTTTTGCCGAAAAGATAAAACTATTTTAAGTTACTAATAGAGCTACATTATTGGAAGCTTGAAAAATAAAAGAAAAATTACCAAATACAACTTTTATATCTAGCTGCATTTCATCTTTCCTAAAAGCATGTTTTTTCTAGTTCTAAACATAACCAACATGAAATTTCCTATCTCACTTTTCTTTTACTTAACATTGTATCAAAGGAGAGCTTTTTCATGTCACTATATATAACTCACTTCATGATATTCTACCAGCTCAACATACCATAATCATATTAATCCAGTTATCGAGTGTTAGACATCTAGTTCCAAGTTTCTATTATTATAAATGACAAATCTAGGATAATATCCTTATACATATGGCTTCCCTCATATTTTGGATTATTTCCTAAGGATACATTACAAGAAATGGGATGACTGAGTCAAAGGGTATGAATATTTTACTGGCTTGGGGTATGTATCGCCAAATTGCCTCCCAAGAGCCACTAATCAATGTGCTTTGCCATCAGCAACAGGCTAATGTTCTGCATATAGTATACCCTTGGTGCCGGGTATGGGCATTAAGAAATGTCTCCCTGTTGATCTAGTAGGGTAAAGCATTACATAAGTTTAAATTACACATGAAGGCAAATATTTTCCCACATATTTGTTTACTAGATGGCTCCTCTTCGGTGAATTGTCTGTTTATGTTCTTGGCTCATCTGCTACTGTAGACTCAGCATTTCTCTTCACAGTCCACAGACACTGATTAATAAAGTCATGAACCCTGATGGTTTGTAGAACTCGCCACAGAGTTTCTGCCTTCCTAACCCCCTGCCCTCCAATCTGCTGGTCCCATTGTCATACCAAGGGCTGGAGGGTGGAAACAGTGGGCCCAGTATCAGCAACAAGGGGGCGCACTGTCTGTAGTGAATTACAAAAACAATAAAACCCACTAAAAGTCCGTCTGCTTGTTATTACCACCACATGTGAGCAATTTTCAACAACGCCAGTGGTAAACCACTTCTCCCCGCCATGCCCCACCCTCCTGGTATGGTACCAGTTGTCCTTGTACAAAACTACTCCTTTTCCACGGTGCAAACTGCCCGAGAAGGGACGGCTCCCCCACAGGCAGAAGAGGCACCTTTGCCTCTGATTTGAGGTGTGTCTTCTGAACACAGGAACCCTGGTTTCTAACCTACAAGCTCAACTGGAACAGGGACTCGTTTGTTCATCGTGTTTCTAACAGAGCGGCCCACAGCAGGGTTTCTCAGCTGTTTCTGTGTATGTGAATCCCCTGGGGATCTCGAAATGCAGATTCTGATTCAGCAGGTCTGCGGTGTGGCCCCAGATGCTGCATTTCTAACAAGCTCTGACATGATATGATGACAATGCTGGGCTGAGGCCATGCTCTGAGTGGAGCCTAAAGGATGCTGAAAATAGGCTATTTACCCTGCCTCCCAAAGCCACCCTTCCTCTTTTTCTTCCTTAAGCTGAGCTGAGGCTTCACAACCACACAGCACCCGCTGTGACAAGAATGTAACACTGACCTCCTTTCCTTTGTTACTAATTATTCCCAGAGTTTCCCTTCTTCTCGGGTCAGAAGATGTAGATGGTTTATTCAATGGACAGTTTTTGGTAAGTACACTGCCACAAAGGCTTCAGACACCCTTGGTCTTCTGTCCTGAGCTCTGTCACCTTTGGATTGCCCTCCCTGGCTGCTTTCAGCCTGTCCACATTGAGCCAGAGCTCCAGAGTCCTGTCCTTGGCCACCTTCTCTTCCATCCAGGATCCAGCTGTGTCCCAGTTGCTCAGGCTGAGACTCTCTATACAGGGAGGGCATTTAATGAAATGGAACCACGGCTATCATAGAGGACCACCTAGATGCCCTCACTCCCTGCCCCACCTCATCTGTACACAAGGCAGTATGCTCCACCATCTGCAATGGAAGCATCCATTATACCTACTCTGAAAACCTCCAAGATTCGGGCCTGGGAGATCTCTAAGGCTGCAGAGGAATCACGCGGGACCCCATGTGTGCTTTTTGTGTAGAACTTAGGACCACAGCACCCTCTGGAGGGAAGGGGTCAGTGGGAAAGCAGAAAGCCTGACAGAGAACATTCAGATGTCAAGTTCAGATAGAAACACCAGAGGGAAAGAGGGCAGAGAGTTGCCTGGGGGTAGAACTACTTTCTATAAGGACCATTGATAGAATAAAAACCTGGACCCCAAATGCAAATTTTTGTGCACTCGATACCCCCAAAATGTTCAACACATCAGGTTCTGAGAACAGCTCTCTGCTCTCATTCCTGTACCTTCTCTTTTAGTTCAGGGCTCAGCAAACCACCACCTGTGGACCAAGCCTATCATGCTGCACAGTTTTTAAAATAAAGTTTATTGCAACATGACCCATCATCCCCTTACATGCGGTCATGGATTTTTTGTGCTGCGAAGGCTGAGGTGAGTAGCTGTCACAGAGGTGAGCAGTTGTGACGGTATGGCCTGTGAAGCCTAAAATATATACTACCTGGCCTTCTTTGGAAAATGTCTGCCAGCCTATCTTAGGTCACCTTTTAAGTCCGGCTGGACTCAAACACCTCAGCTCCAACCTCACAGCCCTGGCTCCCATAGGCCCTGCCTTTCTACAAGGGGCCGGGCATGTTACTCTCTGCTCAGCTTCATCTATAAGAATAGGAATTATAATACCTATGTCCCAGAGTTATTAAGTCAGTGGAGACCGGGCACAGTGGCTCATGCCTGTAATCCCAGCACTTTGGGAGGCCGAGGCGGGCGGATCACTTGAGGCCAGGAGTTCAAGACCAGCCTGGCCAACATGGCGAAACTCCATCTCTACTAAAAATACAAAAATTAGCTGAGTGTGGTGCCGCATGCCTATAGTCCCAGCTACTCAGGAAGCTGAGGCACGAGAATGCTTGAACCCAGGAGGTGGAGACGGCAGTGAGCTGAGATCGCACTACCGCATTCCAGCCTGGGCAGCAGAGCAAGACTCTGTCTCAAAAAAAAAAAAAAAAAAGAAAAGGCAGTGGAACAATGAATGGCAACTTCCAAATAGCCAAATAGTGGCCTGAAACAGGTACACGCACAGCTGTTTTCTTCCCATGCCGTGTCCATTTCCACTCTTCCAGCACTGAAGGAGCACCTGATGTATCCTAAGAACCCTCAATATGTTTTATTTTTTGTTTTTTACAGAAAATAGGAGAGAATGGGATTTTTTTCTGAGGCTGAATACTCAGGAGGTAAACAATGTCAGCACTGGATACAGCCCTCAGTCTAGGTAACCAAGGCTCTCGGGGGTCTCTGCCCTAGAAGCTATAAAATGTAAGTACATGCAACAAAAGCTGTAAGAAGGGAATGAAGGAAAGAAAGAATGAATGAAAATGTCAGAAACCAAAGAATCAAAAGGGTAGAAAAGTTAGTATTAGAATTAGGAAAAAACTCTAAATTAAATGACCTCCAGAGGCTCTTGGCAGTGTAGGAGAGCTGCTACAGCACTTTGAGGTGAGAGAGACTTGAGTTTGAACCCCTGCCTTTCCACTTTGCAGTAGAGTGAGTGTGGGTCAGTCAGTGAACCACTTTATATCCTCTCAGGAGTGCAGTCTGGACTGAATGGAATCATGCGTCTATTTAGATGCCCACCCAACCTGGCAAAAAGCAACGCCCCAACAAGCCAAAGCTATCCACATCAAGAAGAATGTGCCAGGGAAAGAAAAGAGATGGAGAGGCTCTCAATTAAAGATGAGTGCAGAACAGAAAAGCACTGCTCTTTCATAAGGGCATATGCAATGTGCAAACAGAAATCCAAAGTTAACAATTGATATGAAACCTCTTCTTTTGCAGGCCAAAGTTGCATCCTTTTCTGTGCTTAACACCTAAGGTGCGGCAGCAAATGAAAATCACAAACACTGCATGTGGATGCAATTCACTGGAATCATGGATTCCTTCTGGACTATCAGAAATCTCCAGAGTAAGGGTTTTTCAAAAATAGCTTTATTTCACCATTTGTTTTTACCTGATTGCTCTATGCTTTCGTTATACAGTTGTGTGTTGCATCACAACAATTTGGTCAATGGCGAACTGCACATATCATATATGATGGTGGTCCCATAAGATTAGAATACCGTATTTTTATCGTACCTTTTCTATGTTTAATTATGTTTAGATACACAAATACTCTGCCTTGTATTACAACTACCGACAGTATTCAGTATGGTCATGTGTTGTACAGGTTTGTAGGGCCTAGGAACAACATGCGTAGGTGTGTAGTAGGCTATACCACTTGAGTTTAAGTACAATTTATAATGTTTGCACAATGATGAAATCAACTAATGATGCAGTTCTCAAAACGTATCGCTATTACTGACACATGACTATCTGGAGCGGGTTCCAGGCTTACAAGAGGCCTGACTGCTGACTCTGCAGTGACTCAATGATGAAATCTCTTCCAGCGCTTTTGTAGCTACCCAGCCTCTGGACACTTCCAATGATGCCCCTTTCTCTGCTAAGCAGTGTAGTCCTCCATTGTCAGCAACCATTACTGGAAGGTTCTTCCTTAGACTGTACAGGATCAAAATCTGCTCCCATGCCCAACCCAGGGCATTCACCATCTAGTTTACTTGTAATTCCCAGTAAAACTCACCTCTCAGCCTCTACTCAGAGGGTAATGGTTCTACTGTATACTGAAACCGGAGGTACTGAAGCCACAGATATTGAACTGAATTCAGTTAAAAAAAACCACACACACACATATCATGAAACAAATTCACAGAATATATGTTCCCTATCATAACTTTGTTATCAAAGAATTATTCTGAGAAAATTCCAATTAATACCATTCAACACACACGCAAAAATCAAAGCACTCAATGTACAAAACCCTACATTGCATCACTGCATAAGTATACATATTTCAGAAGACCAAGCTACTAGAGTTGAAGTCTCTTAAATGTACGAAATTACTGATAACCTGTGCTGGTTTCTACAACTAAACTTTGCTACCATGTTTCCATGTGGCGTTTCACCATGACGCTCATAACACACACACTCACGATCATTCCACACGTTTGTGATATGCCTCCTCTGTGCCAGGATGCAGAATGCTGTTCAGAACACAAAGTGGTAGGAAACAGTTCCTGCTTAAGAGAGATTTATGTTTCTACATATCTAGGATGGCTGAAGCATTTGCAAGGTTTGGACTGACTCCTACCTGATTGATGGTCTTTTCCATCTGTACCAAGCCCAGGTTGGGTAGCGTGTTTTTTATAAAGTCAACTATGGTTTCTAGGTTTTCATGCTGCAGAATCAAGGGCTTATGGCTTCCCAACAGACTTAAAGCCACTTTAAATATGACCTCTGTTCCCTGAAGAAAAATCATATCTGAGAAAACACAGAAATGCAGAAAGTTAAACCAGACCAGTTTCTCACACAATACCATTCCATTGCCTTTTCCACACATCACAGAGCAGGAGGATGGGAGACATAGCCCCACATTGCAAACTTTATTTCATTTTTAAGAGCCTGGTATCTCAGATAGTGTTGTCAAGACAGTACTGCAAATAAAAGTACATAAACATTAAAAATTATGTTTTACTCTGAAAATAAAATTCAAACATGCTTAAAAGTTAAACTGGGAAAGGGAAAAAGGTTTTATTATTCTATTTTTCCAGGAATGCTCCTGGGTTTTAAAGGAGATACTAAAACATGTTTTTACGGGTCAAGCTAAAAGATTTTTATAGATAAAGCATCAGAAATTAAGATAGAGTAAGTAAAAAGTGTCCCTGTTTCCTCTGTTTTGAAATAAGGAATAGAATTCAAAGATCTTTAAAAACTGTAAAACAGCTGTACAACTGCAAAAGTACATTGTTAAATACAAGTTTACTGATGTTTAACATGATAACGGAATAAAGAACATTCTTCCCTCTGAGGGAGTTCAAAGAACTCCGTCAAGGTTACTTTCTAGTTCTGGCCATATTTTGTTCTTAGACTGGCTGGCAAATGGATGCAATTTCTATACAAACTGCACAGTAAGAGGGAGGGCAGCACTGGCCAAGGCAACCGGCTGAGCAGCAAGCCCAGCCCCATCTCCCCTTCCTCATAGAGTTGAAGCCGCTGGGGAAAAAAAGAGTCAAATGTCCTGGGGTTAAAGCAGAGCCACGATAACTAATTATTGGGTGACTAAACTGAGGCAAGTTACCTAATAACTAGAATAATAATATAAGAACAAAACATTTTAAAACTCAGAGTAGAAATATAATTAGAGGTAAGTGTCAGTATTTCTTTTCTCTCTTTCTTTTGGCTGAAAGATAATGGAAGAGAGAAAGAAGCTGTAAATTTCATCAAATCAAGGACAGCAAAAGCAGGTGAGAGGAAGAACCTTGCAGGATGCCTCTCAAGATGGTTAATATGATAACATTGAAAAGCCATGAAGAAACAGAAAAGCAAAGACTGGGTGCTGCTGTGCAAATGGGAAACTGAATCCCTATAGTTTCTGAACAAAGCACAGGGAGAGATGACAGATCTATAGGCCCGCTGGCTGGGATAGCCCCCAAGATCCTCTGTGACCATCACAAAACCCTTAATTAACCACGTGAGCTGAGATGGGTGCAGCCCTAAGCCATGCCAGTGCTGAGATCAGCCTGCTTCTCCCACCCAGCTCAGGGCCCACACTCTTTCCACAAACATCACAACTACTGATGGCTCAAGGTGGCCACAGGAAAGTGGGAAAGATGAATCCTTCACTTCCTTCTTAAGTCTGGTTGTTGAGGCTGGGAAGACATACTAGAGAACTGTGTCTTTGAAATCTGAGCTTTTCAGAGTAAGTGTAACATATACCAAGGCAGGCCAATTGAAGAATATTCCTCTGAAATATCTGGTTTATAAAATATAGTCTACCCATATAATCTCCCACTACAGAAAATAAAAAGATCTAAAATACTATAACAAAAATGTATTTTTAAACAGAAATGACATTTCCAGAAACAAAACTCTAAAGTAAATCTGAAGTTTCAGTGGTTTAGACAGTAAGACTTCCTAGGCCTCCTTTCAATATATGAACATTTATAGCTGAACAAAAATTGAGGGCATCTTTCAGAACAAAAATCAAGACCTTTTTTGCAGGGATCCTGGGGAAAGGCTTTCCCTACCACACCAGTGATTTTCTATAGCTTGATCTCTTTACTCTCAGAGGGACGAGTGCCTTAAATTAGGTACAGTACCACATCTACGCCAATTAAAATGAACGATTACTGGGAAACTTTTGTAAGCACAACCAAATACACAATCCAAATCAGTGGTCTCTTTAGGTTAACAGCAGATCTTCTGAGATTTATTAGGATCTTGGTTTTTCACAATAAATCAACTTAGTAAGTGCTTCCTATGATTCCAAACGGAGACTTTCCTGGAAAGGAAAGGAAAGGAAATTTGGAGGTGAGGGGGTGGTGTATGTGTTTTAAAGTCTCTTTATTGATATGTTAAAAAAATTAAGACATAGCCCTGGGCATATGATTTATTTTATTAAATCTGTTTGTATTTAATGTAATTAAAAAATAAATGTTCTTTCCTAATGCTATTCACAACATCTGAAGAGAACTCTGCTGAGTACCTTCTACTTTAACTTGATGAGCATCCATTGAGCATCTAATACATGCCAGGCACTGTGTTAGGCTCTGAGGATCAAGCCATGAGGAAAGGACAAAGCACACGCTGCAGAGACACCAAGGAGTTCTGGTTTGCTAGAGTTATGCCCAGGGTGTTACGAGAACAAAGAGGAAAGAAAAGGCCCACGGAAAGGTGACTGCTTGAAGAACTAATGAAAATTTCCTAGGTCAGAACTCGGGGATTAATACTCTGAATAAAAGGAAAAGAGGGTGTCAATACAGGGAGGTGTGCAGGAGCCTGAAAAACAGTCTGGCTGGCAAGGCAGGGCCACTGGTTGTGCAGGGCAGGTGGGCAAATGGGGGCGGGCAGGTCCAGATCACCAGAGGCCTCTGCCCCAGTCAAGCAAGCAATTCTAACTTCCCCCGGAGCACCGCAGGAGTCACTGAATGCTTTTTGTTCCTTTCCTCACTAGGTCAGTGCACTGGTAAGGAGATGATGTTAATGAGATGCAGGTTATGGGTAGGATTCCGCAAGGGCTAGTTAGTGTCAGAGAAAGGCCACCTTTGGAGACTACGCTGACTGATTCCTGCCAGAGACTCCAGAGACTCCCAAATGCCTGCTGCCAGAGATGCTCCACTCACCACTACTCCTCCCATTCAAAGCGTCCATCCCTCCAAGGCCTGAGAAAGCTCAGCCCCAGAAGCTTCTGTGAGACAGGGGAGGTCTTAAATTGGGAGATCATTTGGGTGCACAAAGCATGAATGTGCTTGAAGAGTTGAAGGAAGGACCGCAGGAAGTTTTACTTGGGAGGAAGGGCCTCCTAAATTTGTCTGATGACACTTGGGGGCAACATCTACATCCTTTAAAGAATTTGTACTGTTTTTTGGCTTTGGAAATTTTTTAAATTACATCTAATTTTAAAACAATAGTAAAGAAAAATGTTACCTATAAACCCACTGCCCCAAACCAATTATTTTTATTTTGCCTGTCTTCTAGTATCCTTATACATTTACATTCTAGAATTAAAAAACAAAACAAACAAACAAACAAAAAAACAATAACTCTCCTTGGAAAAGTGAGCGAACGTCCTGCATCTGAAAACCTCCCTAGGAGAAAGTGAACCGCTGGAGCCCCCTGCCCCCCAGCACAGTGCGGCACTAGCCTAGCTCACAACACTGTAGCCCACAACCTTTCAGTGGGACTTTTCTCGTGCCTCTTCCTTCTCTCCTCTCCTTTTTCAAGCCATCTAGAAACAGGCAAGAGGTTTTATCAGGCAGGAAATAAAGAGGAATCTTAAATTCAGCTGACTCGACTACTTTGCACTGTATTCACTGAGAACACCACAAAAGAACTACTTTTCTTTGAGGACATTTCAGCAACCCTCTTATTGCGTTACTGTGTATTGGAACTCTATTTGAAACTAAACTTCATGATCTCAAAGTGCAATCTTCCTATGTGAGCTTACACTGCATCTCTTTTCCAGCCACCTTTGTCTTTGTCAAGGCTGAGCCTTCTCAACTTTCTCCTGGAAGGCTGCAGCCCTCCAGTTGTGGCTCCCGTACATTCTATGAGTAATGGGTAAAGGGGGCGCTGAAGGCAGATGACAGTGCTGTGCAAAACAACAGCATAAACAGACTGAACACACACTCATCATCACGCGGCATCATGTTACCTGAATAGCCGGAGATTTTCCTGGCCACAGAAACAATCTTGTTTTCTGTCTATTTTCATCCTAAAGCCTCTCTGAAGCCTTCACTATATTGCAGGTGGCTTCTGTGTTTTTTTGCCAAACCCTTAATTTTTATATTCCACCTCCTCCCTCATCTATGTGGCAGCACGTCCTATAGAAAAACATCAGAGGCTGAAAATTAGCCAGGCGTGGTGGCGGGCGCCTGTAGTCCCAGTTACTCAGGAGGCTGAGGCAGGAGAAGGGCCTGAACCCGGGAGGCGGAGCTTGAAGTGAGCTGAGATCGTGCCACTGCACTCCAGCCTGGGGAACAGAGTGAGACTCCGTCTCCCCCCCAAAAAAAAAAAAAAATCAAGGGCTGAACACTGTAGCCTCCTGCTGCTTCAGGAGCAAGCCAGGTCCTGTTTTTTAGATTTGCTTTTTTCCCCCAAACGTAGACGTGATGAGAAAGTGAATAGAGCAAGCGTCTCTCCCAGGGCCCTGCTGCACTCAAACTAGGAAAAGACAGAAAGGGGCTACTGACATTATGTGACACCAGGCAGAAGAACCGCCATTCAGCAAGGTGTGAGTACCGTGTGAAGGTTAAGGCACACACATCACTGGCAGCTGCCCCTCCGAGGAGCAGATACATACTGAATGCCAGATAACCTATTAACTAATATACGAGCTATGCTGGTGCAAACTGAAATATTTTACTTATATATATATTAGTGAACAGTCAACAAAGGTCTATGTGTTTTTAGAGTTTATCCAGACTTAAAGGCTTATAATGAAATGGGCCCTAGGCCAAAAAAGACAATAGTGTCTGAATGGCAGGCTTTGAAATACAAAACTAAGCTATCTCCATCACTGTTCTCTAAGTCATCAGTGCTAAAAATTGAAATGGTTTGTAAAAACCTATCTTTTCTGTTTTTAAGTACTGAAAGATGGGATGGACTGTTGGGGGTGGGGGGAAAGCAGTTCTTGCAAAGTGACATCACAACCCAGTGCAGGCTGGAGATCCCACTTCCTGCCTCTAATCCCAGGAGCCCTTGGCCAGGTGGACAACGACCCACTTAGCACAGCAGGAGTCTGTGGGATCTGGGAATGATGTAGACACTGGCATCTCTATGTATAATGTTTATGAAACGCCGAGTCTCACCACTGCCTACTAAGTCTACAGAAAAATATCTTACCTTTACAGGATGCAGCTTTGATTAATGAAATCATTAGAGTGAGCTTCAGAGAGCTTCGAATTACTCTGCAACAGAAGGGCTATCATTTCCAAAGTGGAGTTTGCTTGTTTGTTAATGTCATTTATGAGCCGAAGGAAAAATTTCTCTTCCAGAGCCCCAGAACTTTCTGCAAGCAGCAGCTCCAGTGCCTGGGGCCCCAGGGCAGGGATGACTCAGGGATGACCCCTCAGCCCCTCTAGTCTGTGGTCAGCCCGGTTGCCTTGGTAGAATTTTCTTCACTAACCAAGTAATTTAATGCCTGAGCTGTTTACTAACCATTAACAAACAGCACTCCCTCCTCCCCATTTCCATTCTCACTCCTCTTCATGACCCCATATGAAAATCATAGCTAAAATGTGGAGAAAATGTAAGGAAGGTGGATTAATAATTTTCTTTTAATTTCCAGGGTTAGAAAAGTCAAAAACATAGAAGTTATTGGCAAGAAAGCTTAAAGCCTAGAGCTTGAGATTTTAGTTTCTGTAATAAGCACACAATTTTGAGGCTTTTAGTTATCTTTTTTTTTTTTTAAACTATGGTATAAACCTTCATGAAATCTCACTAAAGATATGCTTAACCAGGAGATAGCTTTTTGTATCTATTTTAATTTAGTGATTTTATTTTTTCAGGGACAGAAAAGAAAGAACATGAATTCTTACAGTAAAGCAAAATGGGAAACTCTTTAAAGGTTCTTGTAGATAGAAGTGAATAATAAAAATCTAGTATTTTGGGGGAAAGGAAAAGAGAGAAGGGTAAATGCCCACTTATATTAAAAAGCAAATTTTAGGATTTCTAGAATTTGGATATTTAAGATGTTTACCCAAAGCATGCCTGAAGTAGTATCAATGTCTTGAACACTTCCCTTAAGATGCTCTCTAATCCTAAAAACAAATTTTTTAAAGATCACATGTTTTTAAGCTGTCAAGTGATGCTTAAAAACACTTGACATATAATAACTATCTTTTTTTAGTAACCTCCTCCTTTACAATAAAAAAAAATCTGAATTGTCAAAAAATATCACTTTTATTCTGAAGGAGGGAAAACAAACTGTGCCCGAACTGACAGTGCTCACAACATTCCACTCGGTTCCTGATGTCCACGTGGACAGCCCTATCCCTGCATATGAAGGCAGGTTGAAGGCTTTGTGTATGAACACCCACCTAACTTTGACAATGTTCTCAAAAGGTAAATCAAGAATATAAAGGCAGGTTTTACACATGAACCACCTAAGGTTAATAGCGGGGCACGGGAGTGGCAGTGGCTGTGACACGTGGGCGCAGGGGCAGGAGGCCTTCGTGAGGTGTCAAGGCTGAGGCGGGAGGGCGAGCCATCCACAAGGAGGTGTTACTCAAGGTCCTGACACTGATCTCCAAGAGAGTGACTTGGGAGAAAATGTAGAGCCAAGGACAGGGCAAGAAGAGAAAGGGGAGGAGGCGATGCCAAGGGAATCTAGAAAGAGCCCAGAGGACCACGGTCAGCATCAATCAACACTCGCAACCCAGAGCAGCTGAGGAAGGCAATTCATGAGAAATATACACCTGCGGCTCCTCAGCCAAGTCCTCCAAATGTCTGCTCTAGGGAGAGCCTCATGGTGAGGGGCTCAGATCCACATCCCACAAGATGAAGGCATCTAGGGAAGCCCCGTGATTATCAGAAGTTAAGGAGGACTCCAAAGTCACAAAACCCACCCCTGACTAATCTTAGACTAAACAATACCCTGTTCTGGTAAGAGCTACAGGTATAAAAATAAGAATCACCACGGAGAGACAGGAAATGTTTCCCCTCTAATAAGAGAAGGCTGGTTCTGGCAAACAGATTTACTAATGCTCACCAAAGACTCTGGCTACGAATCCCAGCGGGAACTGTGAGGCAAACATGGTGAGGAACCAGGGGGCGGCGTAGAGGCTGGGGCCGATCTCGTGCTCCTCCAGGTGATTGTAGAGGTCTCTGTGGTAATCATGAAGCAACCTTGAGAGCTGGTACATCTGGATCTGCAGGAAGATGGCCAATGGGGCTGAGAATTAGGGATCTGCCATAGCGATAAAGTTATGCCTACTGCTCACAGGGTGGGTGTGAGAGAAGACTTACTAGAACTTCCAACATTCTATTTGGCTTGTGATCCACTGAGCTTAGCTACTAATTCATCCAACAAGTGCTTCCCGAGTGCCCGCTGATGCCAGGCACTGGCTGGGTGTAGGCCCAGGACGCTAACACTGGGTCTTCTTCTGCCACTTCCTTTTTATTGTTCCCTTGTATTCCTTGGCTAAGAAGATCTAAACATCTGTCTTGTGCAAACATTTCATAAATTCTCCTACAAATACACACTCTTTGCAAAACTCAAGCCCGGAGGAATTAGAAATAAGAAGCCAGTCTCTTCACTAAGACTGAATTAGGGGCATTTTATGATTCCGCAGGAGTCCACTGTACATGTTCACTCAGCAAATTCCCTCTGGACCCCTGAAATTACTCAATAGGCAGGACAACCATAATTTATTTTGGTGTATAACATATGGAATATCCAGATCCCTGGCAAGTTAAAACAAGAAGACAAGTGTGCGTCTTAAGATGAAATAAAAACTTTTTCCAACTAAAGTGGATCCAACTTCACAGAATGACATGATTCTGGCAGAAAGCTCATGCCAGTTCCTAGCAGTGCCACCAAGAGTTACAGGCTCACAGAGGTCCAAGAGCCAGCCCAGATCTGAGCAGTCCCATGGCCAAAGCCTAAAGAAACAATAACCTACAGAGGGTCAGAATCCTGCTAAGATCCACCAAGTTGGGTATGTCCTGTCTAAACTTAGAGAAAGAAAACAAAACCGTTTTCAGAGGCTCAGATAATATAATCCCATAAGCACCAGCTGCGGCTCTCCCGTATTGAAGACAATCTAATCAACCAAAGCCACCAGCCCCAATAGAGTTGTGTGTTACATAAATTACAGAAAACTCGAAAATTCCACTGCCTGGTGACCGCTGTCTTTAAAGTTAATAAAGGGAATGTAGGAAGAACCTCACGGTACGGATGGAAAGTGTTATGTGGTCAAAATCTTTCAGTGAATGAGTTGACTTCCTTCTATGGTATTTGCATTCATGTGGTCCATGTTCACAGATCAAGGTGAAAAGATTTTGAATCACATAATTTGGTACTCTCAAAGTAAGTCCTTGGCTCTAACATATTCCCTCCCAGGATACTGTCTAAAGCTCCGAAGGCACAGTATCTTACCGGTAGTAAATGAACATATCAACACGTGCTGCAACATTTAGGAATATTCCTGAAGCAGGATCCAGTTTTCCCTCTGACAGGCAGCAAGAGCAGCACATGGTACTTGGAATACGCTACTACGTTTGGTTTTCTCTGACAGAACTATTCATTCAACAAATACTTATGGGGTGCCTACTTCAGCCCAGGCACTGTTTCAGAAACTACGGACTTGGCTCCAAGACCCATAAAAGATCCCTTCCCTCTCCTAAAGTTCACATGCTTTGGAAAATCAGAAAATAGACAGGTAGATGATTCTGGAAACAAGATCATTTCTGGCAGTGGCTGTGTTGTGCAAAAGAAATGAGCCAGGATAATGCGACGTAGTGTGCCCAGGGTGGAAGTGGGGAACACAACATCAGGGTAGTCAGAATGAGCTTCTCCCAGGATGCGATATTTGAGCTGAACCTGAGATGACAAGGGTGGGGGTGAGGCAGAGGAAGAGCAGATGCAGAGGCTGGGAGGTGGTAGTGAAATCATCTCATGGTTGATGGGGGTAAGAGGGAAGGCCCTAGAGTCAGAGAGGCCTGGGTTTCCAGTCCAGCTCTGACACTTGCTAGTTGTGTGACTGGGACCAATTTATAATCTCTTGGAGCCTCCGTTTTCCAATCTACAAACTGAAACAATGAACAGTGTCTGCCTGTTATGTTATTAGAGGGAAGTGCAGATGAAGTGCTTGGAATAACGCCTAGCACAGAGTCCTTTATCAGCAGTGACAGCTATTACAATGTTATCCGACGGTGAAAAAGTTCCTGAGGCATATCTGAAGAGGGATAAGAAACACTCTTAGCATTTGGTTGTATTAAAGACATAAGGAACGCTCTATACCTGTAAAATAATCATGTCTGGCCGATACTGTTTCCGCAGCCCCACGTCAAACATCAGAAACTTGAGCATTTTAAACGCCTCTTCCTCGCTCATATGAAGAAGCAAAATGCCTGCTACAAAGCTGAGACCTTGGCAATATCCTACTTCCTGGTCTAGAAGTGAGTAGGCCTTCAAAATGTTGTAAAGCGACAGCTGTCCTGCTCCAAGCTGGGCAGAGAAGTATGGGTGTGTAGGAAAGGTTCGCCCTGTGAAAAGAATACATATTAGTTGTAATAATAAAAACAAAAAAAAGAAAGCCTATCGAAACAGAAATTCAATGTGCTTCAGATTAAGCAGCAAAATCTTTAGAAGCTGGATCGTAATATCAATCAGTCTTCACCACTTCCTCTGCAAACAAGGTCGACCAGTTGTTCCTGGAATAATGCTTTCAATTAAAAATCAGCAATTATTCATGGTTGGTTTATTTCTTTTTTTGGTGGAGGTACAGGTGAAAGTAATTAGAACTACCTTCGGTCCTGCAAATAGCTGAACGTCAATCGAAAAAAGAAAACTGTTGGCCAGGCACGGTGGCTCATGCCTGTAATCCCAGCACTTTGGGAGGCCGAGGCGGGAGGATCACCTGAGGTCAGGAGTTCGAGACCAGCCTGCCCAACATGGCGAAACCCTGTCTCTACTAAAAATACAAACAATTAGCCAGGCATGGTGGCGGGTACCTGTAATCCCAGCTACTCGGGAGGCTGAGGCAGGAGAATCGCTTGAACCTGGGAGGCAGAGATGGCAGTGAGCTGAGATCACGCCATTGCACTACAGCCTGGGCGACAAGAGCCCAAATCCGTCTCAAAAAAAAAAAAAAAAAAAAAACTGTTAATCCTCTCGACATAACCTCTATTCTCAAGAGGAACACACACAGTTCTTCCTCCCCACCGCTGCACCCCGTGCCCACCCCAATCCCAGCATCATCTAAATGCAGCTAAAAGGCCTTGCCTTGCTACAAACACTCTCTGGGTCTGCTTTTCCCAGACTACACATATTATGCCTGCAAATGCTTCACACCACATGCATATCTCTGAACTTTCAAACCATAGGCAGTGTTTTGAAACAGCCTGAGGAGCAGCAGGTGTTTTCTTTTCACAAAAGTTACCTTCCAAAAAGAGTTTTTTTTAAAAAAAAAAAAGGCTCTCAACATCATGATTATTTTCACAAAAAACTGGTATTCATATAGGTCTTAAAGGACTTCTTTTGTCCAGGAGGCTTTTGTAGCTGACACTTGTCAAGTTCCTCTTCCCCTCCTCTGGAACGTGACTGATGGGAGTGCCTGTTTCCAGGGAGCAGAGAAGTACTTGAAACGATTAAGAGAAGAAAGGTCTGGAGCCAGGCAGCTGGCAGCCAGGGCCAAGCGTGGGCCCAGGCGAGAATTATGAACCTGCTTGGATCAGCTAAGGCAAAAGGTGCATCTGGGTCACATGTTAATTGTTCATTGCAACTACTTGGTCTCAGCACAGGGAGGAACATACTTTCATGGGCTTTTCCTCAGCTTCCTGAGAAAGAGTTTCATCAGTCCAGATGTGTTATGTGAACTTGATTCAAGAGGAAGGCAACAGTCCCCTAACCACTGTCCTGATTTCTCGTTCTGTATTCACTTCCTGCCTCCTCTACCTCTTCCCCCAACAAATCTCCCTGATATACCCTGCACAAGTCACCTTGCTGCTAGTAAGCAATCCATAGCTCCCCAGTGCTCAAAGAACAAATGTTCCACTCTGTAGCCTGGAGCTCCGTGCACTCACCTCCTCACTCACCCTCCCAGCTTTATCTTCTACTCCAAGGCTTAGCCTAGGCACTAGAAGCGGGGGCTCCTGGGGTCTCTGACCCCTCTGGGTTGTGTGCAGAAGTGTGTGTGTGTGTGTGTGTGTGTGTGTGTGTGTGTAAGTAGAACAATCGGTAGCAGCACATGCAACTGAACTGGAATGTGAACCCCATGCAGGATGTAACAGTTTCTAGCAGCCACATTAGAAAGTAACAGGTGAAGTTAATTTTAATTAGATATTTTATTAAACCCAACATATGCGAAATATTATCACGTCAACGTAATCAATATAAAAGTACTGAGACGTTATGCATTCTTTTTTCACGGCAAGTCTTTGAAATCCAGTGTGTTCTTTACATGGACAGCACATCTCAATTTGGAGCAGCCACATCTCAAGTGCTTAATAGCCACATATGGCTTCTGCACTGGGCAACACCAGTGTATTGATTTCCTCATAGTCTCAAAAATATCCATGATCTCTTTCATTCCATTACCCTTGCCAGCTTGGTTTCCAAGAAGATGGAGCACTTCCCCACCTCTGCATTTTTGCTGATGCTCCTGTCCCATCCTGAATGGACCCCTCCCCTCTGGTATCAAATAGGTGCTGGTAGCAAAAGATGCAGGAATCATGTGGCATAAAGGAACACAGGGAAGATTTAGTTATTTTGAATTTGATCTGTCAGTGTTATCATTTTAGCTAATCAGATACCCTCTCATGTTAGCAAACTACCTCACACAGAAACCAGAGCCCACACTAATTGACCCTGCTTATAAAGTGGCTATTTCTTATTTAAGCCTCACAACATCCCTAAGGGTGTGGGCCTAGCAGGCTGAGGAGTGACCTATGCTAACTGGCCACTTAAGAGTGGTCAGATGGTGGGGGCAGAGCTGGCTTCATGGGTGTGTTCTGTGCAGTCACACTGGCTCTGTGCTTAGAAGGACCTCGCACAAGGCTTCATGCTCTGTTGTCTCTGTCTTGAAATTCCTAATAATCTTTCAAGAAGGGGTTCTGCATTTTCATCTTGCAACAGGCCCTGCAAATTATGTACCAATTTAGGGGGAGGCAGCTCCCTAAGCAGCTTCCAGAAATAGCTATAGCCACCTTCCTCCCAACCTTGCTACCGAGTGGTACGTTATGAGAAAGCAAACCTCGGGCCAAATTCTGCCAAACCTATGACCTTTATCAGCAAGCTGACAGGCAACAGGAACCACATAGGGCTTCTCACAGGCTCTGCACTCAGGCCTCCAACAAGCACTTCTCAAGAAAGGTTCGACCAGAGGAGGGCACCGTGGCAGTCTAATGGCAGAGCCAGGCCACCCATAGTCAGGTCACACAGACGGAGTGTGGGGACCCAGGCCCGACAGGCACTGGCCTCAAGTTCTGCTCCAGAGTCCCGGGGGCCAGGGTTTGGATGCCTTTCTCATCAACCACAGCTCTTGAACATCATCCATTTCGCTAGTAAAAATTTACATGTAGTAGTACCCCTTATGCTAAGAACAACTCTCTGATGTGCATTTATTTCAATGGCATTTGAAGTAAGTACAAAATGGCCTCTGGCACATGAAGCTCAGAATGGACTACCTAGCTTCTCTGAACCTTAGCTTCCTCTTTTTAAAAAGGGGCAGAACACATAGTTTGCAGAGTGGAGAGTACTTGTACAATGCCTAAGGCAAATGGTTGCTATGAATGGTGTTCAATAATGGGCAATAATCTTCAGATACACCACACACATTATAAAAACCCAGTTTCCAAACAAGAGGACAAAAGGGCACACTTGTGACAGTTCTGTAGCACAAATGCAAAATAAGTTACATTTAAGGTAAAGGAACAACTTTGCAGAGCCGTGACTAAACTATAACATTGCACATAAGCCGGAAATCTCGCTTTCTGACAGCTTTCCAGAGGCAAAGAAAAGTTTTGTCTAAGCAACTAATTTTCACAAAATTTGGAACTCACAGACAGGTAGAACTGAAAGCTGAATTCCAAATAATAATAATCACCACTACCACCTAGATTCAGCAAAACACCTGTACACCCCACACTTTCAAATCTCTTGTTATTACCCAAACTGGTCAAGGCTTCCAGGGTGCAGTTTCAGAAACTGTCATTGATTTTCTTCATGCAGAAAACCTGTCCTGCACGAACCTGGCCAAGCTAAAACACATCTTCCAGTGTGTTCTATGAGACTCCCAAATGCAATTTCCTGTCCCACCCATACAGCAAGACAGGCCTCTGAGTTCACTACCAGGCTGGGGAACAGCCGTGAGTCTCTGGCCTTCAGCTCCTGACTAGCGGTTAAGCAGGACAACTGCACCCATCTGACTTTGTAACACAGTCCATGTTTTACACCAAATTCTATTGGGGTAGACATTGTTTTCCTGTTTTACATTCTTCCAGGTCAATAGTTCTAAATGTTTGGTCAGTCTGAGGAGCCCTGGAGGTCTCTGAGATGCTTTTAGGGGTCCATGAGGTCCTCCCCCCACTTTTCCAACTATAGATCTGTGCAAGGTCAGCTTTTTGTTTATATGCTTCAAATAACAAGCACAACAGAATGAATGAAGCAAATAAAATTCAGCAGATTCTATTAAATCAGACATTAAAGAGATTTTTTTAATATAAAAACAATGTCACACTTCTAACTAATTTTACTTTGGAAAACAGTCATTTTTTACAATTTTTTATATGTACAAGTTTATTATTGCTATGTAAAAATAAACAGGAATCAAATAAATACTAATCTCAGTTTTAATTAATTGCGAATTTGGTAAATATTGATAGGAATTATCCACGGAAACAAAAGCTCTCTGGGCTACTCAATAATTTTCAAAGTGAATGGCATCCTTCCATCAAAGTTTGGGTAAGGCTATTCTAGGCTAACACGACAACTCACCCACATTCATGAGTAAACACCAAGTAAAGAGGGAGAGGTGGGTCACGTGAGTAGAGAGTGGATGAGTGGGATCAAAAGCATTTCCTGGACAATCTACATTCGTATAATCCAGTGTTGAGCACTGCAGCCCTCCAGCTCCCATTTAGGAATTACTAAGCTAGCACTGATGGCATTCCACAAAGACCACCCATATGATGTTCACCTGCAGCAGTGGGCCAGAGCCGTGGGTAGAGCACCCCTGAGAACAGCCCCTCGCACCCAATTCAAGGCACCTTAACTATGAGCAAAAGACTGTTTACTGTTTGTTGCATTTGTTCACAGTTTGTGAACAGATTCTAGACTGAAGCTCTGCCTCAAGAAGACAGGACAGAAGGCCACACACCCCATAGGAGAAGCACGCTAGCTTGGGAAGATGCCAGCTCAGGGAAAGCTAATTTCTGCCAACCTCGAGGGAAGCCAGGTAAAACTATGCAATCCTTCCTATAAATGCTTCAGGATACGAGGCCTGCCTCTTTAAACTGCATTTTACAACTTACCACAAAGCAGAGAA